CTCCATGCCCTCTCCTCGGTGTGCCTCCTCCATGCCTCTCCCCACCTCGCCCTCTCCTCCTCACGTCGCCTCCATGTCGGCACGAGCAGAATATCGCTTTATCAAGATGAGGTAAGCTCCTCCGCCTCCGGATCTGGTGTTGTGGCCTCCATTCACGCCCCCGATCTATAAAGGGAGGAGTGTGGTGCAGTGGAACCCGAGCTCTCGACGGCTCCATCTCACCCCAAGGGCTAGGACAGTCCAAGCACATGAAGACCAACAGCTTCGTCGCTCCCACCGGATCTGCTAGCTCCCTGGCCATCATGTTGGAGCGTTCCTGCTTCCACCGGATCTGCGAGTTCCTCATCATGTGGGAGCAGAGATCGAAGAGGCGGCGGCGTCTAGCTAGGGTGGCTCATGGATCTCAGCCATCTAGCAGCTGCCTTGAGCACTCTGACACACGCTGGAGTGGCGGACTCTGTAGGCAACAGTGAGCTGCAGCGGGTTCATCCCACTCATCAGGTACTGTGAATTGGTTTGGTTTGGGGATTCATCAATTCACAGACTCCCTGATTTCTTATTCGTTTCTTAGTTGATTCGGGTAGCAGTGGGAGCAAGTGAATGTAGTTTCTTAGTTGCTTCAGGTAGTAGTGGGAGCAAGTAAATGTAGTGGGGAGAGGGGGTTTAGAGAAGTGGGAAGATTTCATGATAATTCCTAAATTAAAATTAGAATTAAAATTTGCAGATGAGAGTGCTACAGTGTTGAAATGTTACTCGTTGAGAGTGGAATCCACAATAATGCCATATAGTCATTGCTCTTTTGTTTGTCGTATTAACAACTTTGCCCATGTTAGTTATGACAGTAATTCAGCTATGCAATTCTGCAATCACTTATCTTGTATCTTATACCCGTTGTTTTGTTGTGCTCTATCTGACACTGATCATATGCTTGGTCCTTGAGGATTTGTAGATCTGATTTACTTGCAAACAAGTGTATGCGACCAACTTGGATTTTTGTTTAAAAATTTATCAAGTCCTTTGCTCGTTCCGCCCATGTCATGTAACTTGTGAAATGGTTGGTTTTGTATTGTTGTGCATTGTGCTTCTACAGCACACCAGGAAGGGATGTTTCTTTCATGATATACTTCATTTCTTAAAGAAAGTAATTGTTTTGTATATTCCAGGAGTGCCGACACCGGTTTAAGTATGTATCACTCGATGTGTGAACTTCCATCAAATTCAGGTAAAACACTTCTGAGTTATGCGACCATATTTTTGTTCTTTGGCATATTTGCTTTCTAGCATTCACAGGTTTTATCTGCTCGCAATGCTGGTGCAAAAGTTGTCAAGATTTTATAACTACACAACTACTTCTCATATGCATAGATTTCATAACTACACAGATACTTCCATGTTTACTTCAACAATAAGTTAAAATAACACGACAACAGATGTTCTTTTGTTCGGATTATGTTGAAAAAAGAACAATTTAATCTGTAGTTCTGATCCCCTAATAAGTAGTCAGATGTAGTTTGTGTTTCTATGGCACCTATAACACTATACCTGCAGATTGCAATATGACTATTTACCAGTGTGCTAATGCAAAGATGTAATTCAAATCTGCAAGGCAAAGCTTAGTATATTAATTATTTTTTGATTTTATTTTTTTTCTTCTTTAGTTATGGTGTTCACTATTTACTTATTTTCATTTGCTACCAAGACATGTAAGCAAATCATGTAGGTGCAGGATCATGAATATTTATTTACTTGGTAAGTAATGATTTTGAGAAAATACTTAATCACCAAAACTCCAAAAGAGGGGAGAGCAATCACATGACAGATTAATTGCTTAGAGTTATGATCCAGATGTTCCAATAGCCCGTAACTTCATTGCCCTGTCATAATCTATGCACTTATGCCATATTTTTCCATTTAAAGACATGTCCGTGATACCTAATCACCTAAAGAGGAAGGCCACATCTCTTTTGCCTCTATTGATTGCACCTAGTTTTTTATGTGTATTTGCTCAACTGCTGATCGATGTCTGATGTTCAGCATCAAGGGAACTTGCCACTATGATGATCGACTCTGTCTTTTGCAAACCTCATGGCTGTGAACTGTGTAGCTTGCCATTCCAAGCTACCAGCTTAAGTGTTCGATTGTTGTGAATTCTTGATCATAAATTGTACCTAATAGTTGTGTAATGTATGGTTCAACAGCTCCATTAATGTAATGAAGGGTGTGAACAGAACCATGAGAGCTACAGTGGACATACAAACCATATCATTGCTTCATAATTTGTCATGTTTCTAATGGTATGATATGATATATGCTTGATCTTAGGTACTGACACTATGGTGATGGTGACAATTACTATATATTAATGTGTGTGACTGACATCTTAGCTTTACCATATCGAATTATGGAGCCATGTCTATCGAACGTAGACTTGCTTTTGTTCTTCAAATCATGCGCCTGATGTTCTAGTATAGGTAAAAGTACATGGAAAAAAACCCTGGAGCAGTCAATCCAAGATACAAGATGACAAGAGTTCCAAAATGAGTTTATTAGTCATTACCCAGTCTCCAACGACAAACAAGCTCAATAGAATGGGGCTGGTGAGATCCTTGTTGGCTGTAATGGCATATCCATCGAGACACGCAAGTCCAAAACTCCACAGCATTTGAAGTCTCATTGATGCAAGCAAGTAGCTGAAATGTGAAAGACAATATGAGCTTTTTGCAAATTTGTTTACGAGCTGTACCAATCTGAGTCAACAGCTTACTAAACATCGGCAGATAAGCAATCACAGCAACAAGGACCCATTAGATACTGGAATGACTACAAATGCACCACGTGTTTCAAGCTCCCAACATCATAGCAAACAAAATAGATTCTTTGAATACGCCTCCAATATCACCATGCTAATATGCTTTTCAGATTATCTGTACAATTGGACGGCAATCATATACTTGTCAGAATTTTTTTTTGTCTCAAATGCTGCAACTAACCCTCCGAACTAAATGCACTTAACAAAACGCAACCCAGAAATTAACAAGCCGTTTGTTAATCCTCCCTCCCTCACCACACAATTCCCCCATAAATAAACCTAATTACGACTGAATTGATCCAGAAAAAATAAATAATGAGGACTGATGAGTCGTCAACGAATGATCCGAGGCAAGTGAGTGGGTGGCGGTGAGCGACCGGAGAGCCGCGGTTTCCCGACGTGAGCGGACCGTACTAGGAAAGCGAGGCGGAGGTGGCCGACGTCGATGGGGCCGATAGCATTTTGCCCTTCCTTTGCGACAGGAGATTCTTCACGGATTGGGAAAATTTTCTGGTGCAGGCGGGAGGCAGGGCCTCTGATCCAAAGGAACGGAACGTGCAGGCCTGGCTGGCTGGCAGAGATAGCTTGATCGTACAGTACAACCACGCGTTTTGTCACTTTTTGTGCTAATAACAACAAGCGCTCTAGGAAAAACGTAACCCATCTACAAGCTCCGGCTCGTACCACCTGCTCTGCTTCGTGCCGCCTGTGTGGTTTGGGATGCAGTGGCCGTTCCCACAGCACTAGCGAGAACAAAAGTGACTCTTTTGTGCTCCAGTCCAGAGTCCCCAATGAACAACCGCTTTTACCAGTCGACAATGGACTTGATGGCAACTGCTTTTCTATGCCGATCGATGGACTCGGCGGCGTCTTGATCATAGAGGAACGAACCAAGGAGTGTGGTGATTTGTGTTAACTGTGCACGGCGGGGACCGTCCAGCTGATCGACGTCGCAACGCCGGACACACGAAATGGAAAAAATTTTGTTGGGCGACAGTGTTAACTGACACGTGTACGGGACAGCGACCTGATCGATCGCGTCTGAGTTTCGATCTAGGAAAAATTTTAGGCGCACCTAAAAAGTGCGAAAACAACGTGCTAAAAATTTGTTGGAGATCTTAAGTCCAGGATTTGTCTAAAAATTCATGGCGACTCGAGCCCCCCCCCCCCACACACACACCTTTGAATCTGCCACTGCGTCTGAGTGGATGGAGTGAGTACAAATATGTGAATTGAATATTCGTCGCAACTTTTGCCTGGACTGACAAATCGGCCGCCCTTGTCCTTTCACGGAAAACGGGATTGGAAATTACTCCTATTTGTTGACGTCGTGATCTCCCGTCATGCGCGGCTTGCGTTACAGGTGTCGATGATGGTGTTTGGTTCGGCAGTTAAGGGAGGTCCTTAATTGCCGAACCATTATTAGGGGCGGGCCCACTTATATTCAATGGTATTCAGTTGAATACCCATTATTTTTACAAAAAAGTTCATATATATAGTGTATTCTAGGTATATGTATGAAAAAAAAAAAATAAAGAAGCTAACACAGTGAAACAAACAAAAAAAAGCCCACCGGCGGACACGTTCCCTCTCCTGGCCCAATTTGCCACTCTGACCCACTCGCCACACATCCACATCCAGGCGCACAGCACGCACACGGCACTCGCCACACATCCAAATCCAGCAGGTGCCTCTGCTTCAACGGTTCAACCCTAGCCGGCGGCGGCGACGACGGACGGCGGGGAGGGCGGAGCTCGGCGGCGGGGAGGGGTAGGGCGGAGCGCCGGAGCTCGGAGGCCTCCGCCGCTGTGCGGAGCGGCGGCGGCGGCACCGCGGCAGCCGCGCCACCTACTGGACGGTCGGGCGGCCGGCGCTACTACGGTACTGCCGACTGGACTGGATAGCCGGCGGGGCGGCGCGCTCCTCTGCGGGGCGCGTGACCACGTCCCCGACTCCCCGTCCCCGACCACGTCACTGCGTCAGCCGTCAGGGGTCTGCACCGCATCGGCGCGTCCTCTGGTCCTGATTCCTCTGGAGGCTCTGATTGTTTGTGAAATTATCAAATTAAGGTGAGCATTTTGCCAATTCCAATTGTTTGTGAAATTGGGATAGCAATTAGCGCAGCAACTTGCAAAATGTGGATGCTCATGAATTTAGACAACTTGTGTAACTTTTATTTTAGGTTTGAACCATGAAGAGGAAGAGTAGTGTCGCTACTGATTTGAGGGTTTTCATGGCAAGGGTTGCTGCAAAGAAGAGACAACATGAACCGGAGAATGTTATTGAATCTTGCAATGAAAGCCACATGCAGATAGTGTTATTCCAAGGGCAGAGTGGCAGTGGAACGAGCACAGTACCACCTGAACCAGTGAGATCTAATCAGCCAGCAGAGCCTTTAGTAACAGAAGATGGTGAATCCATGCCCGTGGAAGAAAATGATTCTAGTGACGAAGACAAAGATGATTATGGCATTGAGCATGATCCTGGATTGAGGGGTCCAATCTCAAGCTATGCTGTCAATGACCAAGATTCAATTAGAAGGGCATACATTGCATTGGGGCAATGTCAACCAAAGATGAAGAGGGAGGCTTTTCCGCAACATGATTGTGGAGGTATGTGCCGCTTCCAACATAAGTGGTTTGTTGAATTCAAGTGGATTGAGTATAGTGTGGATAAAGATGTTGCATTTTGCTTTGTTTGCTATTTGTTCAAAGATAGCTGCAAATTTCCTAGTGGAGATGCTTTTGTTAATGAAGGGTTTAGAAATTGGAATATGAAAAGGAGAATTCATAGGCATGTTGGTGTTATCGATAGTGCTCATAGTGAAGCTGAAGAGAAATATAGATTGTTCACGAGACCTAAGGCATCAATCCGTGAATCTGTTGCATCAAACACTGCACAGTTCAAGGCTAAGTATCTAGCTCGCTTGACATGGTCACTTAAGTGCATAAGATTTCTGTAGCGTCAAGGATTGGCTTTTTGTGGTCATGATGAAACAAAGGATTCACTCAACAAAGGGAATTTCCGGGAACTTTTAGCATGGCTGGCAGAAAACTTTAAAGAGTTTAATCTGGTGGTACTAGAGAATGCACCACAAAACTATCAGATGATAGATCACAAGATCTAGAAAAAACTCATTGATGCTTGTGCTCATGAAACAACCAAATTTATCATAGACGAACTTGGTGATGAATGTTTTGCAATTCTTGTTGGCGAGTCAAGTGATGCATACCTACAGGAATAATTGGTTCTTTGTTTGTGTTTTGTCAATAAAAAAGGAGAACCAGTTGAGCGGTTTCTAGGTCTTGTCCAAGCTAAAGATACTACATCATTGACTCTTAAAGAAGCAATTCAGTCCTTGCTTATCAAATATCAATTGCCCCTATCCAAGGTATGTCATCAAGGGTATGATGGAGCTAGTAATATGAAGGGTCATGTTAATGGTTTGAAGAAACTAATTATGGATGAGTCCCCTTCTGCTTATTATGTTCATTGCTTCGCCCATCAACTTCAACTAACACTTATAGCAGTTGCTAAGGAGAATACTGATTGTGATTGGTTCTTTGGACAACTTTCATATTTTTTGAATGTTTTAGGGATGTCTTGTAAAAAGATATGCATGCTTCGCGTTGCTCAAGCTGAATACATGATTGAAGCATTGAAATGGGGTGAAATTGAAACCGGGCAAGGATTGAATCAAGAGATGGGCTTAGCAAGGCTAGGTGATACACGATGGGGATCTCACTTGATGAATGAAATATTTGGGTACACAAATGACTTGTGCAATGCTTTGCAAAAGAGGGAGCAAGATATCGTAAATGCAATGGATTTTCTGGAGTTCACAAAGGTAGAACTGGATGTTTTGAGACAAGATTCTGGATGGCAAGAATTCCTTACCAAGGTCACTTCTTTTTGTGAGAAGCACAATGTTAAAGTTGTTGACATGAATGGGAAGTATATTCCTATGCAAAGATCAAAGCAGTTCTACAGAGGTGCCATTAATTATCACCGGTTTTATGTTGATATGTTTTTGGTGTCATTGATAGGCAAGTTCAAGAGCTTAATAATAGGTTTGATGAGGTAAATACAGAGCTACTTAGATGCATGGCATCATTCAGTCCAGCCAATTCATTTTCTGCTTTTAATGTTGAGAACTTGATTAAGCTTGCTGGGTTCTATCCACATGACTTTGAATTTCAAGAAATGAACCAGCTTCATTTTCAATTGCACCACTATATCAATGATGTCAGAAATGATGAAAACTTCAAAAATTTGAATGGTCTAGCGGAGTTGTCTATGATGCTAGTTAAACAAGGAAAGGTTGCTCGGTATGAAATTGTTTATAAACTTCTCAAATTGGTGCTTGTTCTTCCTGTTGCAACTGCTGGTGTTGAGAGGGTATTTTCTATAATGAATTTGATAAAGAACAAGAGAAGAAGCAAGATGGGGCAGAAATATTTGAATGGTTGCTTGGTCACATTGATTGAAAGGGAATTCTTCATGCAAGCTAAGGATAAGAACAACATCGCTCATTTTCAAAGCATTAAGGATCGGAAAGTTGTCCGGTAACTTGTAAGTTGTAAGCTTTGTTACCATTTTGCTGTTTTATCCTCTATTTATTTCACATGTTGCCATTTTGATATGTTGATCATTAGTAGCTGGACAATTTCAAGTTGTGATCAATTTTATTAATCAATGATGCTACCACTTAATTCTGTGTTATAAAACTATAATTTAGGCTGTCAAATTTGTTTTCTTGCCACCTGCAATTTTGAATACCCATGTTCCAAATCCTGCGCCCGCCACTGACCATTATACGCTAGTGTTTGGTCGTGCAAAGTCAAGATCATCGGAGCTCTCGATATATCCCCCTCTCCCACTGCCACTGGACGCTTATTCGGTTATCCAGAAGCTCGCTCGCTCCAGTGAACAAAAAGGAACCAAACACACTGACACACACGCACATACTAGTATTGCTTTCAGCTCAAAAAGCAAAGCATACGTAGGCAGTAGCAGCATGCTGTAGCAGCGACGTAGTAGTACGTTGCCGTTGCTCGCTTGCCGATCGACTTGTGGCGTACGCTGGGCTTTCAACACGTACTCCCCGGCCGGGCCGGCGTCCAGAGATGGATGGATGCATCAGTGACGGCCGGCCCGGGTCACTACGTACACGTTAATCCCGAACGACGACCCCACCCGCCGAGAGATCGAGTTCGCCGACGGGGAAAAGGAGGACAGGTGGCGCGGCCGCCAGATGTAGTAGCCATGCACCTCGCCGCCCCTCTGCTTTTTTTGCCCTGCTGTCACGATGGATCGGATCGGCCACCACCTGCACGATCGGTGATCGCCTCTCACTGACACTCCCTCACCAGTCGTCGTGCAGTGCAGCTGGGCGTCTCGTGGAGCAACGGAATTCGCCTACGTGGCTCCGGCCGTCGGAAAGCATGCATGACGAGCTAATCTTGACATGGAAATGCCACTCACGATTGCTTCCTCGGTCTCAAAGTAATTACATAAATCATTTCTCAGCGCCCTGTTAGATTGGCTTATAAATCGTACTTTTTCAATCAATGAACAGTATTTTTCTCTCACAACAAATCAGCTAACAGTAAACATTTTTAAATCTAACCCGATATATAAAAAAAAATATTGATAATTATGATGCATAGCAAGTACAAATATTGACCATGTGATATATTTTTATAGTAAATTTGTATGAAGATACAAATATCGATACTGAAGATGTTCGCTAATGCTAAAATTTGGCTTATGCCGATGCTTATGCTGAAATGTTGTGAGAGGAAAACAATGTTCCATGACTGAAAAGTAGTTCTGAATAAGCTCAAGCGAACACGAGGACTATTTTTCATATATTTAGTCAACTTTTTTTTAAATTTGTAATACCATTTTATTCTGTAATAAGTCAGTAATAATCTAACAGACGCTAATCTTCCTCTATTTCATTCGTTCTTGAAGCTCCTGGCTGTGAAGCCTGCCAACTCCGGATCTGCCCAATATACCCACCTGCAGTAGCCGCGAGTTCAGATACCGTCGGCGAACTCGACGGGACTCCCCTGGGCGTAGGAGGTACAGTCTCCTGCTAGTCCCTCCTGGGCATCCTCCGTGGCGACACCACCTACAGCTCGATGTCTCCTCGGCGGCTCCTCGCTCTCCTCTTCTTGTATCGGGAGTAACAGTAGCAACACGTAGCGCCAAGCACCAAGAGCACCAACACCGATAGCAGTGATACAGTCACTATGAGCATGGCTTTGCTGCTTAAATTCCAGTATGGTGGGGGAGATGGAGGCGGGGGAGGGGGAGGAGGTGGTGGAAACAGGTGAGAAGGAGGAGGATGATGGTGTCGTAGCATCTCGTGTGGCATTTTAGTCTCTGTCACATCAAATATATAAAAAAATACTAATTAACTAGTATCATTAGATTAAATAAAATATATTTTCATAATATGTTAACACTGTGTTACACAGTAGCGGATTAACACTGTACGCTATGAGATAAGTCTATTGTTCCTGTTATAATTAGCCTGCCACTTCCTTTTTATGCTTTGCATTCTTAGAAATCAATGATAACTGCTCAATTAAACACTCTAGGCTTTTAAACAAAAAGGATGATTCAACATTTACTAACAAATCCATTCAATAGTGACATGACAGAGCAGTATATATAGATTCCAGCGAAGATACGGAGCAGAATTTAACACAATTAGTCATTTTGCTTGTCTTTTTGAAGGAGATGCAAGGAAATGAACAATAGCAAGTCACAAATGCAAGAGGTGCAACAAGAAGCATACCTTGGGAAAATATTCTTGATCACCCAAATTTGATGCTGAGAGAGATAATTGCAACATGTTATACTGGCAGAATCAAAATACTACACAACTAAACAAGCCCAATCAACATGTACAGCAGTGATTTTTTTTTTTGGAAGCAATACAGGAGTGCACTTACTGGTTGTTAATCGAGCGCCTAGCTCCGGACTATAGAAAATTACTTGGCGTAAACTGCTGTAATCGCACACACCCATCTACGATTTGCTTGCTGATGAGATATGCAACAGTGTTGTAACAAATAAAAAATAATTATTTCTGAATTATGCAAGACTCATCACTTTGGGACTCCTGAATTATGGGTTACTGGCCGGTGGTCCAATTTGCACTCAGACCCAAGGCTTTGCACGAGTGCTTGCACTGCATGCAATAGCCACAAAGGCAAAAATGGGCCGCAAACGCGTCTTTGTCGAGTGTCTTTGTCGGGACTGGCTGATTTAAGGGCTGATATTGTGAGAGAAAAAGTTGTTCCATGAAAAACCCGAAAAAAATGGGAATTTTTTTAATCGGTGGAGGCCCCACCAGCCAACAGGGCGCCCATCTCCGGCATTTCACGCGTAAAATTCGTCGAGCTCGCTGCTCGTCCACGCACTCTCTCCTTAGCGCGTCCCTCCTCTAATATTCTCCACAACCGCCACCTATGTCTAAATTCGTTTTGGTTCCCCACATATTATACTAAACCGAGTGTAAATTGCTTGTTTGAGGCCCTAAACGAATTCGAATAAAAAAGTTGTAAACAACAAAGTTTTATAACTTTCGAGATAAAAGTTTAGGAAGTTTTTCCATCCGAGGTCGTTTACAAAATATGAATTTCAAAATTTTGAAATTCAAACGCAGTTTTGCATGACAAGATGATTTCAAATAAAAAAGTTGTCAACTACAATGTTTCATAGCTTTTCGAGATCTACGGAGTTTATTTTGGTTGTTTTTCCATCCGAGGTCGTTTGAAAAGTTTGAATTTTAAATTTTTGAAATTCAAACACAGTTTTGCATGACAAGATGATTTCAAATCAAAAAGTTGCCAATTACAAAGTTTCATAACTTTTTGAGACCTACAAAGTTTATTTTGGTTGTTTGGTCATCTGTTCATCCGATATGGTCGTTCTAACATTGTTCACAAATCTTCTTATATATCTCTATTGTAGTTTCATAAACTACCAGAGAGATATGTTAGATTTGTGAACAAATTTACTTTCACTTTGTCATATGAAGAAAAGACCAAAACAAACATTGTACATCTTGATGAGTTATACAACTTTGTAGTTGAAAACTTTTTTATTTGAATTAATTTACTGCTTCAAAATGTGCTTTGAAATTTTCTTTGCCTAGTGTCAAAAAAAACTCGGCAAAGAGCTTCTTTGCCGAGTGCGGAAAAAAAAAACACTCGGCAAAAAAAAAACACTTGACAAAGAAGCTCTTTGCCGAGTGTCAAAAAGCTTCTTTGCCGAGTGTCAAAAAAAAAACACTCGGCAATCCACTTGGCACTCGGCAAGAGCCGGTCTCCAGTTGTGTATACTTATGTGATTTTTTATTTCTATTTTATCTAGTATAACAGGAACATGCATGGACGACAGCTATCTGCCATACTACAAGTCTGCAACAATTCAAAAGCTTTTAGGAAGATTATTTTAAATATTATATATAAGCTTAATGTATTATGAATTTGAAAAACTAACTGATTATCTCTCTGTTAGACAATAAAATGCACATTTATTAGCTTTCCCAGGCACAGGCTTTTGTATAGGTACATCATGTGATCCGGTATGTGTATTAAGCTAGATGGAAAAGCGATACTCAGCTAGTTTCTTGGACATGCAAGTAAGCTAGGAAAGGGAGCTGATGCAGAAAGAGGAGAAATTCATCACAAACCTTGCTTGTTCTTCCCCTCTAGCAGGTGTTCTTGGACTCAGATTTGCAGGCAAGCGAGCTTCGAGACGGCCAGACCTGTGCTCCTATATATATACTAAGCTAGCAGCTGCCTGCTAAGAAGAGAAAACCTCATCAGAAGCAAAAAAGTTGAAACCTTGCAAAGCTTAGTAACGCAGGGTGTTGAGGAAAGAAATGCCGGATGACAAAGATATCACGGAACTGATGCAGAAAGAGGAGAAATTCATCACAAACCTTGCTTGTTCCCCTCTAGCAGAGCAGGTGTTCTTGGACTCAGATTTGCAGGCAAGCGAGCCTGGAGACGGCCGGAGCTGTGCTCCTATATATACTAGTGCGGCTCCTCGATGAGCTCCCTAGCTCCTTGCAATATGATTGTGAGGCTGTGAATAGCAGAGCAGCAGGCCAGGACATGCAAGCAAGCTGGGATTCTGGGAATGAAGGGAAGCAAGAAGTATATATCAAAGAACTGATGCAGAAAGAAATAGGGCTGAAATTTATTTAGCATGCATGTAAAAAGATAACCTAGATGGAAAAGCAATGTGGTTCCTCGATCACCCTACCTCCTTGCAGCACAGCGCGAAACGGGTTTTAGTCTCGGTTGGGAAGACCCTTTAGTCCCGAGTCTGGGAACCGGGACTAAAGGTCACCCACGGAAGAAAAAAATAAAGGAAATCCTCAAGGCCTCGCTTGCTCTACGTGAGATTTGAACCCAACACATCTCTCCTCGCGCGTAGGTACATTACCAACTCAACTGCACACCACTTGTGACAGAGTCATGTGCGCTCTCCTTTTGAATAGACTCGTGGGAGACCTTTAGTCCCGGGTAAAAGACCTTTAGTCCCGGTTAAAGACACCAACCGGGACTAAAAGGTCACCCTTTAGTCCCGGTTGGTGTTACCAACCGGGACTAAAAGTTGGTGAACTTTTACTCCGGGTTGGTGATACCAACCGGGACTAAATATGACTTTTAGTCCCAGTTGGTATTACGAACCGGGACTAAAAGTCCTTTAGTCCCGAACGCAAAAAATATCTAGACTAAAGGCTAAAATCGAAGTGGGTGAAAGGTCTATTTTCTAGTAGTGCAGGCAATGAAGCTGGGAATGAAGGGAAGGGGCCAGTATTTATAGAGGAGAGGGGCGAGCAAAAGGCCAATACTACTGGTCACTAGAGCCTGCTATCTTGCCTAACCATGCATATATAGCTTAAAGCCTTTTGGTTTATGTCCTCTCCTTTTACTCTCCGTGTTCTTTGTTTGCAAGAACTGATAATATAATGTGCAGTGAAACTGCAGTGTATATATATAAACTGAATATGAAACCCGTTCCGTTCTGGCCGCTGTATGTATAAATTTAGTGCAGCAAAATCCAGCTTAATTTTCCGTATCATTTTCTTGCCAAAAATCTGTGGTTTATTTGCGGTTTGGTCATGCATGCCAATTGCCATGCATGGTGATTCCAGTGTTAGAGTGCCAAAATGCGCAAGTTAGATGGATGGATGCCTGTTATTCCCGTTGTTATCACATGTACACTACAGGAAAACGCCTCTTTGCCGACTGCTTGCCCCGGTCGGCAAAGGCATAAACCCAGTCAGCAAAGGCTTTGCCGACCGCAAAGCCACGTGGCAGTCGGCAAAGAGCAGTCAGCAAAGCCTGGGTCGGCAAAGGCGGATTTGCCGACTGCCACGTGGCACACAGTCGGCAAAGCCTTTGCCAACTACCACGCCAAAGATCGGCATATACGTGGCGCCGTCATACCGACGGTAGGCTTTTTGCCGATCGCTTGGTTCCTCGGCAATGGCAAAGAATTTTTTTTCAAAAATTGTTTTGCCGGTTGCCGCCATTTCGGCAAAAAGAAAGAAAATATTTTTTTTTGAAATGTTCTTTTGCCGATCGCTTTGGAGTTGCAATCGGCAAAGGTTTGACTCTTCTTTTGCCGATCGCCTCCCATTGCGATCGGCAAAGACTCATCTGAGGTTTTTGCCCAGATTTTGCCGATCAGTAAACAATCGGCAAAGCTGGATTTTTTTTGCTTTTGTTTTCGTTTTCTCGCATCAAAACCCCGCAAAATCACAAATTATAATCCAATTTCACCGGAAGCACCGGTAGCACCATTTATATCACAATTTCATCACATTTGTCGCCAACATCACCAACAACACCCATATTGTCGCCCGGGTGTCCAGGTATTATCAGCGTCAAGAGCACGTTCTTAGATTCAAACATGACGGGGAGATTGAGGGGATCACAAACACGGGCCGACAAGTGTACGGGGGGCCGCCATCATTCCAAAGCGGGTTGAACCCATACATTTGCGGCGCTTCACGCGTACATTCCGAAGCCTCCATAGCCTTGACAGATTCATGTTATCGAAGTGCTTCCATGCATCACCGTCACGGGTGTACCATCTTGTCAAGATGATATCTTTTGCCATTCTTGTGCCACGTCATCTGCTTTTCGCGGACTCCTCCGTCATATCTACCGTTCTGCAGACCTCGGTAGGAAAGGAAGGTGCCGACGACCTTCTCGGGGACCTTAGACATTTCATCACGCCGCCATCGAGCTTCTTCTACCAACACGAACCTAGAGGCATCGCGACTTCCGGACAGGTTTTTGCTTCCTCGAGGTCTCCCCTGAGCAGACGCACCCCTTCGGACAAGC